TATAAATCACGAGATGATCGGCCAATCAGATTTCGGATTTTTTCTTTAGCCGGATAAGCATAACGGGAATTCGGGAAAATGATTACGAGTGCAAAAAATATTATTTTTCTGATGGTAGAGTCTGGACAAGCTTGTCCGAGCTCGTCAAAATTGAGAAAAAGTTGGATCAGCATCCGGTTAATTCATCTCCCGAAACCTATATTTTTCTGATGGACACGCATATAAGCTTCAGGTTAAATTTATCTCCCGAAATAACCGTACATGTGACTAGCTTATTTTTCTGATTAGTGGTAGAGTCTGGACAAGCTTGTCTGAATGAATCATATGACGTAATACAGTATGTCAAGTGATAATTTATAGCGCAGTACTTCACATATTATTTATTACATATTCCAAATGCATTGTACACATTCGCAAAGCAAATAAAAATATAAACCCCGAATTGTAGGGGGTAGAACTTTATTAAATCGTTTTAACTAGTCTTTCAAAAGAACAAAAATTACAATATTCTCCTAAAAATGATGGCCGAGGCGGGACAAGCTTGTCCGAGCTCGTCAAACCTTATGTGTTAAGATTTCAGCCATTACATATTTGATTTCATCTCCAGTTAGATTTAAGATGAATGATGGGGGAATAGATCTAATCCTGGCTATTTTTTCTTTACCTATGGTATTAAAAAGCTTATACACCTTTTCGGATCTCTCTGTCTTTTTTCGCAAAGCTTCATTAGAGCATTTTGTCTCGGGAATCGCCACCCTAACCTCTTTTTTAACTATCGCTTCAGATCCATCCTTACCAAACTCGGGTTTTAATTCCTTATATCGCTTAAATACCGCTTCCCCAAAATTAAAATAACTGAAAATGAGACCTCGGGATGCTTCTTCGTTTTTAGTTTCAGCATGATCAATCCTTTCAGAGAGTTGTAAAAAGTTACTTGCGCTTTCATCTATTTCTTCCAAGCTCCTACCACCATCGGGAATATCAGTTAATAATTCTTCGATAAGTTGTTTTAGCGTGCTCGATACCTTCTTCTTCCCACCAGTCTTTTTCACTTTCTTGTTAGAGGATTTTTTCATAGATTGAGTATCTTTACGTTTTTTACCCTTACTGCTTGAGGAAACAGAGGTGGATTGCTCGGGTTGAGTTGATCTCAAAGGAATCGTTTCTACTTCTTCGCCATCATCATCTTCCTCCGGCATTTCTTCTTCTCCATTCACATCCACGTCCATTTCTTGATTTGACACCTCTTCTTGGATTACTGGCGAATTAATCTGAAGTTGGTTGCTCATTCTCCTAACTATCGATGAAGTACTCGAATGAGACGATACAGAAAATCTTCGTTCGGGGATTACGGCCTCAACGGTTGCAGTGCAACCAGGAAAAAGACATTTATTTTTTTGCGTAAGTAGATAATTTTTCTCAATACATCCTCTGTGATATGTATGGCCACATGATAACACAGTAAACGCCTCAAAGTTAAGAGAAAGGATCTCTTTATCGCATTGTGAACATTTCCCAAGTTCAGTAAATTCTTTACCATTAACAATTTCGTCTCCAAGATTTTTAAGAATGCTATAAGCAAGGTTTCGAAGGTTGGGGAGAGACATCTACTATTGCTGATCTTTAGGGTCTATGAACGAGCGAAGTGCGAAGTAAAAAATGCCCTTTTTATATCACTTGTAAATTTCATAGGAAAAAACATTCCCCGGATTTTCACCAGCAATTAGCACTGCATTTCGTCATTTGTTAATCCCTTGCAAATCAATAAAAATGACGAAGGATTAGCATACACATCCCCAAATCTCATATGCGAAATATTGATTGCCAAAAAATGTCTATATTCGAATACTGTTTTATTAATATGATAATAGCGTGGCCGGAGACATGACACGCAAAAAATAAATGCAAATCGAGTCTTAGAAAAATAGTGTGAATATATATGCAAATCTTACGTCGCACAGCCCCTATTCCTTCGGCAAGAATTTTCCCGATATCGTACTGCGCATTTCAGGTGATCAATCTCACATGATTATTTCACCAGCTTGCTTAAGCAAATGTCCCATCCAATGATCCAATGATGCTGTTTATAATCGAAGAGGCTTTAGAACGCTAAATTTAAGATAAGTAAATTTAGAGTATTACATTAGCTATGGAACGAAACTTACTAATCGATTCTGATTTTAGTGCCGTAGATGGAGATTACGAATTTTTGAAGGCTCTAGGATTAATAGATGATGAAGAATCAGAGATAGTTGATAGTGGGCAATAGCACGAATACCCAAATCAGCAATATACCCACAGTCAAATGCTCTAATCTATGACATGATTTCGCTATTTCCTTGACAGCAGTATTATTAATACTATGGCATCCCAGTAGACCAAGAAATCTAAGGTTTCGGCATGAACATGCAATAATACACATGGTGGATTCACTGATTATGTTGTTGTAAATTAGGATACTCATATACAATTTTGTATAACCACATTCAAAGAGATCTAACCTTATTAGATTTGCGATATATTTGGGCATGAGCATATAATATAATTCCGTCTATTTTTTCATCTGATAAATTATCGCGTATTAAAATTTCAGCTAGATTATATACTGTAAATAAGAAAACAGTTATGTAGTTTGTCTCGTGACTTTACATTTACATGGCTCAGTTGCGGTTTAATTGAGGTTATACATACACGTGTTAAAAATACAAGCAAGCAACTAATAATTGTTTTATTAATACTTTATTAATATGCATACATGCTGATCTCGACAGGTGTTATTATACAATTATTTTAATATACAGTGCAGTAGATCTATAAATTTTTTGCCATGAAATAAAAAATATATGAATGGTGAACAAAAGAAGTAATTTTCAAATAAATTCACCTTAGATTAAAACCTCATCATTCAAGTACTTCTTTTTCAACAAATTCAACCAATATATATCATGCTCCTTTAACTTCATCGTATCTTCAGCTCCAGTTGGCCAATCAATATCAGCATTCATGAAAGTCGGATAGCAATCCACATTATCCCTGCCAGCCCAGTCGAAATCTACCAACATTCCGCTGTACTTTTCATCATCATCTTTAATAACCAAGATGTTAGAATCACGGAGGTCTGCAAAAACAATATCATTCGTGTGTAGATGATTTATAGCCACTTCAATGTCATTGATAATTTTTTTACGTTCAGTGTCTTCCAAATCACAATCACGTAGTTTCTGGCCATTAACATATTCCATAACTATCATGTAAAGTCCACATAGACTACTTGATACATATAACAGGTTTGGTGCTTTTCCAATATCATGGCACAATTTGTGTGCGTAGCCATTGTACCTATGTGTAAACTTAATAACAATTTCGCGACCATCTTCTTTTGTCTCAGCTTTCCAAAGAAGCTTGTGTGGATCATTAACGAGTTTTTCTTTGTATATAAAGCCTCCAACATCTTTGCAATTGCGAGGGTAAGGGAAAAACCGCTGAGGATCTACATCAGTTACTACAGATGGTGGCAGTGAATTATAATATGTCTTCAGATTATCACCTCCCAAACGCAAGGCTCTGAAGAGTCGTGCAATTTTATCCAAGTGAATTCGATCATTAGTAAAGATAAGAGGTTCAAAGCTTGTTAGAGGTTCAATAAGTGGTTTCTCAACATAAACAGCCCCTAATATGCATATCCAAGGTCCAG